GGACGAATTTGGCAATTTTCAAAAAAAAAATAATCTTTTAAAAATACCGACTATACCTATTTTAGGGTTTATGCGACGACGTGGACCTGCAAATACCGACTGTACCTATTTTAGGGTCCATACGACGACGTGGACCTGCATAGACAATTTTTGTCATAAGCCATTACAATATTCAAATGCGAAACATAAAAAAAAAATCAGTGAATGATGTAGAAAAATTAGGGAGGTACCATCATATGCCTAAACGTGGACCTGCACATTCAATTTTGTCATAGGCTGTAATATCCATTACGAATGTCAAATACTAAATTTGAGACAATTCTGGTGAACAATGTCGCTAAAATCATCAAAGTGCCGAATATCGTGAGGTACCGTTGTATAGGTGCTATACGAAGACGTGGGCCTGCACGTACAATGTTCTGTCTAAGGCTGCAGTATCCATTATGAATTTCAAATACCAAATTTGAAAAAATGTTATATCTAGGTGCAATAGTTTTTATGTTTTTAGGTTGAAGCCCCAAAGGAGGTCTGGGATCTTAGGCCAAATGTTATTAAGTTATAGTTTTGACCGTATATAATGGTACCTCCATATTTTGACATATATTTCGAAATATATAGGATAGGAAAATTGATAGAGATCTATGGATTCCAACCGGAATCATTGGTACAGAAATAGTTATGGCCAGAAAAATTGAATGTAGAACCAATTTTCAAAATAAAACAACAATAGCACCTATTTTTTGGAAAACATTTTCTTTTAATTTATACTACTTTACTTTTCCACCAATTTCACCTTTCTCGCCTCTGTCTTCCACTGAGTTTTAATTTCATAAAATATTCACAAAAATGTATGACGCATTGCTACTTTTTTCCAAACAAGTCCTAATATATTAAATCAACATTAAAATTTCCAGCCGCCGTTAGATCCAATTAACACCCTCGATATAATGAGTTAAAATATTTTTGGTACAGTCACGAGCCAGGCATTCCATGGGAGTCAATGCCATAATTCGCTTAATTTTTTCTGATTTCACAATTTTTCATTGTCATTCCATTCAGAACAAATATTGAGTTTAAAAAACGTGGTTGAACGTTTGACGGAATTTAATTTTCTTATTTATTTTCTAATTTTGTACAGAAAATATCGTAGTGAATCGGATTTTCGTGCCATTGGTGGTATACCCTCATCACGTCCCGATTCTCGTGCTCAAGGCATACCGATGTCCGCCCTTCGACAAGCTAACAGTCGAGCAAGTATAGCTGGTAAGTACAAAAACAATATATGTATAATTGTATATATTGTGGTAGGCGATTTTTTTTTTCTATAGAAAAAACTTGGACCTAAAGTTCGGCGAATTTTTTTCTATAGAAAAAACTTGGACAAAAAGGTCGGCGAATTTTTTTCTATAGAAAAAACTTGGACCAAAAGGTCGGCGAATTTTTTTCTATAGAAAAAACTTGGACCAAAAGGTCGGCGAATTTTTTTCTATAGAAAAAACTTGGACCAAAAGGTCGGCGAATTTTTTTCTATAAAAAAAACTTGGACCTAAAGTTCGGCGAATTTTTTTCTATAGAAAAAACTTGGACCTAAAGGTCGGCGAATTTTTTTCTATAGAAAAAACTTGGACCTAAAGGTCGGCGAATTTTTTTCTATAGAAAAAACTTGGACCTAAAGGTCGGCGAATTTTTTTCTATAGAAAAACTTGGACCTAAAGGTCGGCGAATTTTTTCTATAGAAAAAACTTGGACCTAAAGGTCGGCGAATTTTTTTCTATAGAAAAAATCTTGGACCTAAAGGTCGGCGAATTTTTTCCTATAGAAAAAACTTGGACCTAAAGGTCGGCGAATTTTTTCCTATAGAAAAAACTTGGACCTAAGGTCGGCGAATTTTTTTCCTATAGAAAAAACTTGGACCTGAAGGTCGGCGAATTTTTTCCTATAGAAAAAACTTGGACCTAAAGGTCGGCGAATTTTTTTCTATAGAAAAACTTGGACCTAAAGTTCGGCGAATTTTTTTCTATAGAAAAACTTGGACCTAAAGGTCGGCGAATTTTTTTCTATAGAAAAAACTTGGACCTAAAGTTCGGCGATTTTTTTCTATAGAAAAAACTTGGACCTAAAGGTCGGCGAATTTTTTTCTATAGAAAAAATCTTGGACCTAAAGTCGGCGAATTTTTTCTATAGAAAAAACTTGGACCTAAAGGTCGGCGAATTTTTTTCTATAGAAAAAACTTGGACCTAAAGGTCGGCGAATTTTTTTCTATAGAAAAAACTTGGACCTAAAGGTCGGCGAATTTTTTTCTATAGAAAAAACTTGGACCTAAAGGTCGGCGAATTTTTTTCTATAGAAAAAACTTGGACCTAAAGGTCGGCGAATTTTTTTCTATAGAAAAAACTTGGACCTAAAGGTCGGCGAATTTTTTTCTATAGAAAAAACTTGGACCTAAGGTCGGCGAATTTTTTTCTATAGAAAAAACATGGACCTAAAGGTCGGCGAATTTTTTTCTATAGAAAAAACTTGGACCTAAAGGTCGGCGAATTTTTTTCTATAGAAAAAACTTGGACCTAAAGGTCGGCGAATTTTTTTCTATAGAAAAAAACTTGGACCTAAAGGCGGCGAATTTTTTTCTATAGAAAAAATTGGACCTAAGTTCGGCGAATTTTTTTCTATAGAAAAAATCTTGGACCTAAAGTTCGGCGAATTTTTTTCTATAGAACAAACTTGGACCTAAAGGTCGGCGAATTTTTTTCTATAGAACAAACTTGGACCTAAAGGTCGGCGAATTTTTTTCTATAGAAAAAACTTGGACCTAAAGGTCGGCGAATTTTTTTCTATAGAACAAACTTGGACCTAAAGGTCGGCGAATTTTTTTCTATAGAAAAAACTTGGACCTAAAGGTCGGCGAATTTTTTTCTATAGAAAAAACTTGGACCTAAAGGTCGGCGAATTTTTTTCTATAGAAAAACTTGGTCGGCGAATTTTTTTTCTATAGAAAAAACTTGGACCTAAAGGTCTGGCGAATTTTTTTTCTATAGAAAAAACTTCGACCTAAAGGTTGCCGAATTTTTTTCTATAGAAAAAACTTGGACCTAAAGGTCTGGCGAATTTTTTTCTATAGAAAAAACTTGGACCTAAAGGTCTGGCGAATTTTTTTCTATAGAAAAAACTTGGACCTAAAGGTCTGGCGAATTTTTTTCTATAGAAAAAAACTTGGACCTAAAGGTCGGCGAATTTTTTTCTATAGAAAAAACTTGGACCTAAACGTCGACGAAATGTGGACTTTCGAAAACGACTAATAGAGTTCTCTTATCCTTGCAGTTGGTACCCATGTAAATAGCCATCATCCCCAGCATCACCATATGCCTAATGGCAAACATTATGGCCATCGTTCGCACAGTGAAGCGGATCTTCTGGCCAGTGCTGGTGGCAATGATGTCTATGACTATGGTGGCGGCGGTGGTGGTGGGGGCGGAGCAGCTGAATCCCGTATATATGGTACTTCACGCAATCGTCACCATCACATGGAACACGCGAATGGCGGTAGTCACATTTCGAATTATGGTGGTGTGTCACAACGTAAACGTTCCGAAATAGGTTTGGTCTACCCTAATATACAGGTCCACTGTCTGGATGTGAATCCCTGTCTGAGGGGTGTTTCGCTGCAAGCCAAGGCCGGAGATTTATTTGCCATTATGGCGACATCACAAAAAGAGGGCACAGCTCTGACAGAATGTCTGGCCGGTTTGAATGAAAGGATCGGCGGTGAGATCCTCATCAATGGCCAGCAGATAAATCGTCGTGCCCTTAGGGAGTTGTGTAGTTATGTGCCTGCTTTAAGTGTGTCCTCGCTGGATCCCCGGATGAGTGTACAGTGTACATTGAATTTCCATGCCACCCTGAGGGGACCCATGGACCGGAGTGATTTGAAGGAGAGGGTAAGTTATGGATATAATCACTCTGAAAAATTAAATTAATATAATTTATCCTTTTCAGATGGATGTCCTTATCGAGGATCTGGGTTTGACCACTGTGCGGGCCTCTAATGTCTCCTCGCTGACCCATTCGGAAAAACAACGCCTTAGCGTGGCCTGCCAGCTACTGGCCCAGTCATCGATTTTAATTTTGGATCAAGTCACATCGAATATGGATATATTCGATACTTTCTTCCTTGTGGAATATTTGCGTCAATGGTGCAGTGGTGGCCGGATAGTCATAATGACCCTCCAACCACCCACATTTGAAATTTTGTCCATGTGTTCCGGGGTCCTGCTGCTGTCCGGGGGACGTACAGTTTTCTCCGGCAGTCGTTCGGATTTGCCAAGGCACATGGGAGAACTGGGTTATCCCTGTCCGCCCTTTAAAAATCCAGCAGATTATTACTGTGAGTTTAAGAGAGCTTATGGAACCCCTTCCCCCTCTAAACTATTTTTAATTTCTCTCTCTCTTCTAGTGGATTTGGTGACACTGGACGATCTGTCCGCTGCCGCATTACTGGAATCATCAGCCCGTATCGAGTCGTTGGCAAATTCCTGGGACCAAATAAATTCCGAACCCCCCTTGGCGGCCCCACCCGCCTCACTGCCAAATTTTGTACGAAAGGCCGGTTTCTTTGGCCAAATGAAGGCTCTGATTAAACGTTTTGCGGCCTACAAACAACCGGGCTCTCTGCTCACCTGGATAAGCAAACTAATATCGGCAGCTGTCATTTCCCTTTGCATTGGCTGCATATTCTGGGATGTACCTGCCTCGGATCCCCAACTGACATACAACGATCGTTTGGGTTATCACCACTGTGTCATGGCGTTAATGTATTGGCCTCTGCTAATGTTAACCATTAGGGATACCCAAGAAGATCGGCGTCATGCCGAAAGAGATTTAAGATTAGGGTTATACTCAAGATCCCTATATATTATTGTACAGGTATGTCGGGAGCCTTGGATATACCAACAAGAAGAAATAATAATTTCTAATCTTCTCTCCACAGAGTTTGGCTGGTTTGTTCCCCAGTTTGTGTATATGGTTGGCATATCTTTTGCCGGCCCATAGCATGGCCGGTTTGTATACCTACAGTACCAGCAGCGATACTGGTATCTATTTGTATATGGGTATGTGGATTCGCGCGAATTTCCTTCTGTCTCTATCTCTCTCTCTCTCTTTCTCTCTCTCTCTCTCTCTCTCTCTCTCTGAGTATCTTAAGTAAATAATTCTCCCCTCCCTAGGTTATATGCTGCTGTATTTGACGGTCATCCAAACATTGGCAATATTCTGTGCCCACCTTATGCCCAGCAAGGTTGGATCGACAATACTAAATACTCTTATATCACTGGGTCTTACCGCCGTCGGAGGATATTCCATACATCCAAAGAATGTCTCGAAAATCTGGTCATGGTCGGAGTTGATATCACCGGAAAAATGGCTCTTACCGGTTCTGGTACAGGATGAATATAGTGCCGAGACCTTAGCAAATTCGGCAGGATTACAGCTATGTCGTAACAAACAGGTGAGGGAGGATAGGAAATTACTGATTTTTCTATAGAAAAAAACTTTGGGACATTGCAGTCAAGTGTCTAGAGAATTTTACCTATAAAAAATCTGGACCTGAAGGTCTCGAGAATATAGCCTATAGAAAAAATCTGGACCCAAGGGTCTCGAAATTTTTTTTGTAGAAAAAATGTGGACCAAGGTTTCTCAGGATTTTTTTCGATAGAAAAAAATTTGGTTCCAAGAATTTCGACAATTTTTTTTTTTTTGAACCCAAGGGTCTCAAGAATTATTTATAGAAGAAAATTTGGACCAAAGGTTCTGGCGAATTTTTTCTATAGAAAAACATTGCAGCCCAAGGGTCTGGTGAATTTTTTTCAATAGAAAAACATTGCAGCCCAAGGGTCTGGTGAATTTTTTTCTATAGAAAAACATTGCAGCCCAGGGTCTGGTGAATTTTTTTTCTATAGAAAAACATTGCAGCCCAAGGGTCTGGGTGAATTTTTTTCTATAGAAAAACATTGCAGCCAAGGGTCTGGTGAATTTTTTTCTATAGAAAAACATTGCAGCCCAAGGGTCTGGTGAATTTTTTTCTATAGAAAACATTGCAGCCCAAGGGTCTGGTGAATTTTTTTCTATAGAAAAACATTGCAGCCCAAGGGTCTGGTGAATTTTTTTCTATAGAAAAACATTGCAGCCCAAGGGTCTGGTGAATTTTTTTCTATAGAAAAACATTGCAGCCCAAGGGTCTGGTGAATTTTTTTCTATAGAAAAACATTGCAGCCCAAGGGTCTGGTGAATTTTTTCTATAGAAAAACATTGCAGCCCAAGGGTCTGGTGAATTTTTTTCTATAGAAAAACATTGCAGCCCAAGGGTCTGGTGAATTTTTTTCTATAGAAAAACATTGCAGCCCAAGGGTCTGGTGAATTTTTTTCTATAGAAAAACATTGCAGCCCAAGGGTCTGGTGAATTTTTTTCTATAGAAAAACATTGCAGCCCAAGGTTCTGGTGAATTTTTTTCTATAGAAAAACATTGCAGCCCAAGGTTCTGGTGAATTTTTTTCTATAGAAAAACATTGCAGCCCAAGGTTCTGGTGAATTTTTTTCTATAGAAAAACATTGCAGCCCAAGGTTCTGGTGAATTTTTTTCTATAGAAAAACATTGCAGCCCAAGGTTCTGGTGAATTTTTTTCTATAGAAAAACATTGCAGCCCAAGGTTCTGGTGAATTTTTTTCTATAGAAACACATTGCAGCCCAAGGGTCTGGTGAATTTTTTTCTATAGAAAAAACTTGGACCCAAGGGTCTGGTGAATTTTTTTCTATAGAAAAAACTTGGACCCAAGGGTCTGGTGATTATTTTTCTATAGAAAAACATTGCAGCCCAAGGGTGTGGTGAATTTTTTTGCTATAGAAAAACATTGCAGCCCAAGGGTGTGGTGAATTTTTTTGCTATAGAAAAACATTGCAGCCCAAGGGTGTGGTGAATTTTTTTGCTATAGAAAACATTGCAGCCAAGGGTCTGGGTGAATTTTTTTCTATAGAAAAACATTACAGCCCAAGGGTCTGGTGAATTTTTTCTATAGAAAAACATTTGCAGCCCAAGGGTCTGGTGAATTTTTTCTATAGAAAAACATTGCAGCCCAAGGGTCTGGTGAATTTTTTCTATAGAAAAACATTGCAGCCCAAGGGTCTGGTGAATTTTTTTCTATAGAAAAACATTGCAGCCCAAGGGTCTGGTGAATTTTTTTCTATAGAAAAACATTGCAGCCCAAGGGTCTGGTGAATTTTTTTCTATAGAAAACATTGCAGCCCAAGGGTCTGGTGAATTTTTTTCTATAGAAAAACATTGCAGCCCAAGGGTCTGGTGAATTTTTTTCTATAGAAAACATTGCAGCCCAAGGGTCTGGTGAATTTTTTTCTATAGAAAAACATTGCAGCCCAAGGGTCTGGTGAATTTTTTTCTATAGAAAAACATTGCAGCCCTAGGGTCTGGTGAATTTTTTTCTATAGAAAAACATTGCAGCCCAAGGGTCTGGTGAATTTTTTTCTATAGAAAAACATTGCAGCCCAAGGGTCTGGTGAATTTTTTTCTATAGAAAACATTGCAGCCCAAGGGTCTGGGTGAATTTTTTCTATAGAAAAACATTGCAGCCCAAGGGTCTGGTGAATTTTTTTCTATAGAAAAACATTGCAGCCCAAGGGTCTGGTGAATTTTTTTCTATAGAAAAACATTGCAGCCCAAGGGTCTGGTGAATTTTTTGTTATAGAAAAACATTGCAGCCCAAGGGTCTGGTGAATTTTTTTCTATAGAAAAACATTGCAGCCCAAGGGTCTGGTGAATTTTTTTCTATAGAAAAACATTGCAGCCCAAGGGTCTGGTGAATTTTTTTCTATAGAAAAACATTGCTGCCCAAGGGTCTGGTGAATTTTTTTCTATAGAAAAACATTGCAGCCCAAGGGTCTGGTGAATTTTTTTCTATAGAAAAACATTGCAGCCCAAGGTTCTGGTGAATTTTTTTCTATAGAAAAACATTGCAGCCCAAGGTTTTGGTGAATTTTTTTCTATAGAAAAACATTGCAGCCCAAGGTTCTGGTGAATTTTTTTCTATAGAAAAACATTGCAGCCCAAGGTTCTGGTGAATTTTTTTCTATAGAAAACATTGCAGCCCAAGGTTCTGGTGAATTTTTTTCTATAGAAAAACATTGCAGCCCAAGGGTCTGGTGAATTTTTTCCTATAGAAAAACATTGCGACCCAAGGGTCTGGTGAATTTTTTCTATAGAAAACATTGCAGCCCAAGGGTCTGGTGAATTTTTTCCTATAGAAAAACATTGCAGCCCAAGGGTCTGGTGAATTTTTTCCTATAGAAAAACATTGCAGCCCAAGGGTCTGGTGAATTTTTCCTATAGAAAAACATTGCAGCCCAAGGGTCTGGTGAATTTTTTCCTATAGAAAAACATTGCAGCCCAAGGGTCTGGTGAATTTTTTCCTATAGAAAAACATTGCAGTTCAAGGGTCTGGTGAATTTTTTTCTATAGAAAAAAACGTTGCAGTTCAAGGGTCTGGTGAATTTTTTTCTATAGAAAAAAACGTTGCAGTCCAAGGGTCTGGTGAATTTTTTTCTATAGAAAAAAAACGTTGCAGTCCAAGGGTCTGGTGAATTTTTTTCTATAGAAAAAAAACGTTGCAGTCCAAGGGTCTGGTGAATTTTTTTCTATAGAAAAAAAACGTTGCAGTCCAAGGGTCTGGTGAATTTTTTTCTATAGAAAACATTGCAGTCCAAGGGTCTGGTGAATTTTTTTCTATAGAAAAACATTGCAGCCCAAGGGTCTGGTGAATTTTTTTCTATAGAAAAACATTGCAGCCCAAGGGTCTGGTGAATTTTTTTCTATAGAAAAACATTGCAGCCCAAGGGTCTGGTGAATTTTTTTCTATAGAAAAACATTGCAGCCCAAGGCTCTGGTGATTTTTTTTTTTTTTTCTATAGAAAAACATTGCAGCCCAAGGGCTTGGGTAAAGATTCTGGCGAATATAGATATATAGATAGGAAAAATCTGAATTAAAGATATATTTTTGACCTGATTTGACCTCTATCCCGTTTAGGTGCAACACCAAGAGATTATAGTACAACAGCCCTGTCCACCACCGAATGGTACCCAAGTGCTGGTCGACTTTCAATTGCTGCCACAAGATCATAAATTGGATCCCACCTACACCTATGATCAGACAACAACGGTGGCCTTGGTTTTGGCATCGATTGTTGTATTCTTCGTAACCTTCTTTGTGTTCGCTTGTAATTGTCGCAACATGTTCTGTAAGAAACCGAAAAAAGCGTTTAGAGATCGACTTTGAGGTGGAGCAGCAATGAAGAGTTGCTGGCGCAAAGCGAAGTGTTTAAAGCATAAAATACGATTAGTTAAGTTTTAGTGCTGCAATACTTTTTACAAAAAAAATATAATTTTTTTCCAACAAAAATAAACTATTTAAATGTTTTGTTCATAAGTTTTAAAACGACTTCCATAGCTATACATTGTTAGAATGCATATATTTTTAAATAATTAAAATTATTACTATTAAATAACGCACATTTCGATTATGCATTTTTTAAACAAATAAGACATTTTTCATACAATTATTTTTATATTATTAACAACAAATTATTATATATATCTAAAACTGTTGCAATTATTAATAATATGTTTTTTTTTTTAAATATATAAGAAAATAGAAAATAAAATTAACAAATAGTATACAATCAATGCAGAATGTTGAAAAGAAAAACTAGACATAAATTTTACTTTTTTAAGTTAATTTTTATAAATTATTTTATATATCTGCATATATATAAACAATATAAACTAATTTTAATTATATAGATTATTTACATGCAAACATATTTTTGTATTATAATATTAATAAAAAAATATATTTAAATAAAAATTAAAAGGTTATTTTATATTACATTGCTCATCCGTAAGAAAGAGAAAAAAGATTCGGTAAAAAAGCATGTAACAAAGCCATAGGTTTAGCCGGGCCGATCTTTGGATACCCTCCACCATTTGGAACGAATTTGGCAACTTTCAAAAAAATAAAATCCGTTAAAAATGCTGTTAAAATTTTTAAAATACCGAAAGTACCCATTATACCGGGTGAGATAAAAAAACTACAACCAATTTCAGACTGCTGTCATTTCTAAGCCACTCGTCCGACAGCTGTTAAAATTATTATAGTGACAGCGCATTTTATTGTTTACAAGCGTACAAAATCATTTTGGTGAGAATTTTCCAGAAAAAAAGTTATTCGCGATCGAATTCAAGCGTGACAGTGTGATTTCTTTATATTTGGCTGGAAAAACGCAAGTGACGATCGTTAGAGGACTCCAGCATTTAAATGTGAATAAATCTACATCTTATAATTCTTTTGTGTCTCGTGCCATTGTTCGTTACCGTGATACTGGTAGCGTAGCCTGACGTCAAGGAAGTGGACGAAAGAAAACAGCAGCATCACCAGAAATGGTTCGAAAAGTAAAGAAGCGACTTGATCGAAGCCCGCGTCGCAGTGGCCGAAAAATGGTTCGTGAGCTGAACATATCGCCATATTCCATTCAGCAAATATTGAAAACTGAGCTCGGGGTAAAGCCATTGAAATTCCAAAAAGTGCAAGAACTTACACCGCAACAAAAAGAAAATTGACTCAAAAGAGCTAAAGAGTTGCTTCGCTTGGCCGAAAGTGGTTAACTGCCGAATTTGGTTTTCTCCGATGAGATAACATTCGGTGTCCATTAGTTTGTAAACAAACAAAATGAACGTGTTTACTTGCCAAAGAGGTCAGCAGAAAATGTGCACCTTCGGTTAGCCACCAGAACTCAAGGGCCGGCCATGGTGATGGTGTGGGTCGCCATAACAGCCGAATTGCTCGTATCAGAATAAATTCCTAATATTATAGCGAAAATATTCGAGAGGGTGTATTAAATAAAGCTTTGGGCACGTAAAAATTTTGGCCGCAGACCTTGGACATTCCAACAGAACTCAGCACTAACGCACTCAGCACGCGCCACCCAAGAATGGTTACAAAATTAGGTTTCTCGCTTCATTTCCAGCGCACAATGGCCACCAAAATCTATGGATACCAATCCGTTGGACTATTGTGTCTGGAGTATTTTGGAAAGCAAGGTTGGCACTAAAAAATACCAAAGTCTCAATCACCTCAAGCGCTTTGCCGGGAATGGGCCAAAATACAACAGAGCAACATTCGGGCAGCGTGTGATGGTTTCGCTGGCCGTTTGAAGGCCATAATTCGTGGCAAACGTGACCAGTTCGAACAAATCTAGACTTATTCTAAAATTTCATGCTATTTCCGACAATTTTTGCTTTCATTCAAAAAAATTTAAAAAAAAATGTAAAAATGATGGCGTTTGACTTTGTTGCTGTACACCTTTCCAAAACCCACAGGCATCAACAGTAACATCTATATCGAATTTATGAATTTCAGCTTACATTGTACCAAATGGTACACTTTTAGTACTTTTCGTAACCTTTCGTTCGAAGTTCAAAAAACTCTTTGGTACATGAATACGGCACTCTATCAGTTCCGCTTGTCTGATACAAAGTATTGACTTTTTAGTACATTTTAGTTACATTTAAATACCAAATGGTACCATTTTAGAATTTTTCGTAACCTTAAAATTGGAATTTCCAAAAATCGTTTGGTACATCTATCCTGCACTCTTGCATTCAGAATTCTAGCTAATTTCGTTTGTCCAAAAAAAGTATTTGATGTTTAGTACATTTACCCTGTTTAGTACCCTTTGAGTACGAATTTCCAAAAAAAAAAAAAAAACTCAGTCTTATCACACGCCTATGCACTAAGAATGACCCTCTCGCAAAATTTCCATTTTTCAATTTTTCTAGCTTCAGGCATTTCGTCTGAGCGTTGATTTTCAGTCAGTTATTTTGGTACTCTTTTATGTATTTCATATAAAACGAATCAAGTATCTGATCTAGTCTAAATTTGGTGAAGCAGAATAATCCAATTCACTTATACAGATTTCAATGCCATGTATCCATAGATCTAAATAAGCCATCCGATTGTGGTATATATTCTCTAGGTTTAATTAATAGTACTACACATTTTACAATGCAACCTAAAAAATAGGTTGGAAATCTGGTTACTGTATTATATCCTGCGAATGTGACCTGTAATTTTCACAATGCCAGTTTTAAGATTTTTATTGTTGCCATTATTGATATTTATTTCAAACTGCCATGTGGCATCAGGTAACATCGGGGGATAGGATTCATCGTTGACGGTATAGTTGCGTACGGAATAGAGGACATTCTGGAACATCAACATATTTCAATTACATTATTGATTTTGAAAATCTCCATACCTACCTCCTGCAAAGGACAATGTTTTGGTATATTCGATGTTCGCAACATTTCATCTTTAAATACTGAGAGAAATTTATTGGGCGCCGTATTGTTGAGAGCTTCACATATATCCATTGACATCTGAAAAAGGTTGAGGCGACGTTTACCCTTGGTCAAGAGAAACACAGAGGCAATAACTGGTAATTTGTTGACTTTGACATTGAACATGGCATCCATGTTGGCAGCCTTTTGATTGGTGAGAGAAAAATTAAGGGATTTCAAAAATGGAATGCCCGTGATGATGGGGGTTATATTCTCCAGTTCAATGGTGTAATCGCGCTGTGTGAGGTGAGCAAGAAAAAAAAATATAGAGCATGGAAGAGATAAATATAGGTTTCAAATTTTCGGAAAGAGATACATTTTCACTTCACTCAATTCGAAACACAACTTACCCTAGCCATAGCACAGGTCACCAGGATGAACCCACAAATCCAATATATTACCCTCATGCTTGCAGCGATATGATTTATTTTACTTAAAAAAATTTTGAAAAAAATGTGTTTGCACTTTTGAAAATCGCATAAATATTGATCTACAATTAACTAATTGTATCCATTAAGTTTTAAAAAATAAATTTGAAAATTAAGCGTCTAATTAGCATTAAAATAATTCGATTTTAATTGGTGTGATCTCGAATATCCGGATTTGGAAAAATATATATGCCAATTGGCGATGATGTTATCTAAGTTTGTTGCTAAGACAAAAATAGTTTGATAGAATTAATTTTTTTTCAAAATTACAGGAAAAACTGAGTAGATTATGAAGGTAGAGATAAAAATAGGAGACACATGTTTCGACTTTTTGGAAGTTTGGAAGTTTGCATCGGAGTTAAGCAAATTAGGGCAATGGATTTAATGGAAATGTTTATTAAGTGTGAAAACTGTACTAAATTTCGAACAGTTTGATTAAGGATGAAGGTATGAAGAAGGAATTTTGAAATTTTGTATTGGGGTCTCTTTTGGTGGTAGGATTGTGATAAATAGGTTGTTTTGGAAATGTGAACTACAATTGCACGAAAAGTACTAAATAGTACTATATTTGCTACAATTTGGCATCGGGTGAACAGATAGTGCTTGAAATCTGAAAATTGGTATTTGGGTCGCTGTTCATGCGTATCCTGGACATATAGAGGTGGTTTCTGAAAAGGATACTATAATAGTTCGAAAAGTACTAAGTGGTACTAAATTCGGTATTGGATGAAATTGGATGACACCCTGAAATTTAATGTGGATGTCACTGTTGGTGCCTAGGGTTGAAATATGGAGTTGATTTCTGAAATGTGTGCTATAATTGCTCGAAACTACTAGAATAGTACTAATTGTGGTTTTGTGTGAAGGGATAGAGCTGAAATCCTGAAATTTAATATACTCGTACGTGGCACTGTTGGTGTCTGTGGTTGAGATATGGAATTTGTTTTGGTAATGTAAAGTACACATTTGCAAAACAATCTCCATATGTACGAATAATACTAAATAGTACTATATTTGGTACCATTTGGAATTGGGTGAACAGATTGTGCTTGTAATCTGAAATTTGGTATTAAGGTCGCTGTTCATGCGTAGCCAGGACATATGAAGATGGTTTCGGAAATATGTCCTATGTTGGTACGAAAAGTACTAACTGGTACTAAAATTGGTATTGGGAGAAGGTACATTGAGTTTTTTGTTAGTATCTAAAATTGAAATAGGGTGGTGGTTTTGGAAATGTGTACCATAATTGTACGAAAAATACTGAATAATGCATAATTAGATATTGGGTGAAGGGATAGCTGAAGTTCGGCGGGTAAAACTTTTAATACCCTTCTCCACTGGGTAAAGAAAACATTTTGACGTGTTCCACTTTAAACTGCAAATACCAGTAAGACCATTTGGATAATGCTGTTAAATTAAAAAAAAAAACAAAAAGTGGGTTATGCAGTTATATTGGGCCATACCAAAACGGGAACCTCTATAGAATATTTTATACTTCAAAGATTGTCATCTACCTAATCTTCTATAATAATTGAAACAATCGTTGGTTCGTGGGTAAATGTGACTGAGATTACCAAAATACGGAATATCGGTGGGTATCGTTATATGTGCGCTATAGGAAAACGTGGAACTAAATATTCAATGTTCAGCCACCGGACCTAGAACCCATTAAGAACTACAAATACCAATTTTTATACAATGGAAAGGTACTGTTATATGGAGGTTATACCAAAACATTGATGTATACATATCATGTCTCGCCGCCGGAGCTAGAACCTATTATGACCTTCAAATGCCAATTTTTAGACAAATCCGTGAAAAAAATGTAGCAAAAAACATCAAAATACCGTTTATCGGGAGGTAACGTTATATGAGGGCTATACCAAAACATGGGCCCATACATACAATACTTCACCACACGACAAATCCATGGAAAATGTGCAAAAATCATCAAAATACTGAATATCGGGAGGTACCGTTATATGGTGGCTATACAAAATCGTGGACCTATACAGGGTGAGATAAAAAATGCAACAAATTCATTTTTTTTTAAATTTTATTGAATGAAAGCAAAATGTCGGAAATAGCATCAAATTTTAGAATCAGTTTAGATTTGTTCGTCACCTTTAGCACGAATGATGGCTTTCTGCGGCCAATGAAGCCGTCACACGCTACCCGAATGTTGCTCTGCGGTAATTTGGCCCATTGCCGGCAAAGCGCTTGCTTGAGGTGATCGACACTTGCTTTCCAAAATACTCGAGACACAACAGTCCAACGGATTGATATCCGGAGATTTTGGTCGACATTGCGCTCTGGAAATGAAGCGAGAAACCTCATTTTGTAACCATTCTTGGGTGGCGCATGCTGAGTGCGATGGTTCTGAATCCTGTTGGAATGTCCAAGGTCTGCGGCCAAAAAGTTTGCGTGCCCAAGGCTTTAATACACCCTCCAGAATATTTTCGCGACAATACTCGGCATATATTCTAATGCCATGGTCGATTAATATGAGCGGAAACGACCATCGACTGTTATGGCGGCCCATCACCATGGCCGGCGCTTGAGTTCTGGGGACCAAACGAAGGTGCACATTTTCAGCTGACCTCTTTGGCAAGTAAACACGATCATTTTGTTTGTTCACAAACTCCTGGACAACGAATGTTTTCTCATCGGAGAAAACCAAATGCGGTAGCTCACCACTTTCGGTCAAGCGACGCAACTATTTAGCTCTTTTGAGTCTATTTTCTTTCTGTTGCGGTGTAAGTTCTTGCACTTTTTGGAATTTCAATGGCTTTACCCCGAGCTCATTTTTCAATATTTGCCGAATGTAATATTGTGATATGTTCAGCTCACGAGCCATTTTTCGGTCACTGTGACGCGGGTTTCGATCAAGTAGCTTCATTACTTTTCGAACAATTTCTGCTGATGTTGTTGTTTTCTTCCGTCCACGTCCTTGACGTCGGGCTACGCTACCAGGCTACCAGTATTACGGTAACGAGCGATGGTACGAGACACAAAAGATTTATTGCCACTTGTGGTTTTCCAGCCAAATATAAAGAAATCACACTATCACGCTTGAATTCCATCATGAATAACTTTTTTTTCTGGAAAATTCTCACCAAAATGGTTTTGTACCCTTGTAAACAATATAATAAGCTGTCACTGGAATAATTTGTCGGACGAGTGACTTAGAAATGACAGCAGTCTGAAGTTGGCTGCAGTTTTTTCATCTCACCCTGTACATAAAATGTTTTGTCGCTGGAGCTAGAACCCATTATGACCTTCAGATACCAATTATTAGACAAATTCGTGAAAAAATGTGACAAAAATCATCAAAATACCGAATATCGGGAATTACCGTTATATGTGGATTATACCAAAAAGTGGACCGATATATCTCATTTACAATACCAACCATCCTAGACACAATACAAATTGTTCTTCCCAATTTTTTAAGCTCTACGTCAAATAAGGTGGGCTGTATCGTGATTTCAACAGACGGAGGGATCGACCGACAGACGGACATCGTTAAATCGACTTAGAATTTTATGCTGATTATGAATATATATACTTTGACAAAGTTAATATACGCTCCTTTCTATGGTGGAGGGTATAAAAAATGGACATGTACATTTACCCTATGTTTCTAGTGTTTTGGCCATATTTTATAGTATTTAGCCGATATTCGTCCTCTCTTCTATTAAAAATAAATCCTATTGATAGCAAAGCGAAAAAAACACTTATCTTTTTTTGCCTCCAAAAATATATTATCCTTTAATATACGTTCTTCACCTCTACAACAATGTTGTATTTCCAAATCGTATTGAAACCATCTACCCAGTGCTGCGAACACGACCGGAAATTCTTATGAAGCCAGTACTAAAATCTTTCATATTCAAATTCAATTGAAATTGCCAAGCTGTGTCGGGTAATATAGCTGGAAAGGCATCTTCATTGACGGTATAGTTGCGGGCCCTGTAGACAACGTTCTAAAAGAAGTAGAGAAAAAATATTTTTGATTACCCAATCCAATCCCGGAAAAATACTCATTACAAGTCGGATTACGAATCCCTTATTTTAATAAGGTCATGTCACCGAAAGTAAGATGTCATTATATATGTTGATATATTTTTGGCCAAAGAATAATTAATTATTTCCTCCTACATGGCCTTGTTAAAATAATGGCTTCTTGTTTATACCTCAATGAGCGGACATTGGTTTGGAATATTCGATGTTCTCAAAAGTTCCTTTTTGAATACCGCCAAAAACTTATTCGGAGCCGTGTCCTTAAGGGCCTGACAAGCTTCAAAGTCCACCTGGAATAAGGAAATGCGACGTTTACCCTTTGTCAACAAATATACCGATGCTCTTATGGGCAATTTAGTGAGATTTCGATTTAAAATCAAATCCATATTGGCCGCCTTATTATTTGTTAAGGACAAATTCAAGGACTTGACATAGAAGACATCAGTGACAACGGGGGTGATATATTCGATATCAATATTATAATTACGCTGAAATGAAATGAAGGAAGGAATATTGAATAGATAATTTGAATATTAATTTCCCCTCACCTTAGTCTCCACATAAATCGGTAGCAGACAAATTGCTATGAGCAACAATTTTCCCGTCATAATCCTAACAGTTGGATTGTTCAATATAAAGTGGCTCTTTATAGCCATCAATAGATAGTTATTGAATCATTCATTCATACATAATTTCATAATTATTCAAATGTCAGGAATAATCTGGAAATTTTTCAAATCGATTATTTTAAAATAAAGTATTAAATATTTCCTATAATTAAGTTAATTAAGCTATGGAATGTCTGCTATTAACAGAATGAATTTGGGATGGATATGGGAGGTATACCACAATGTGGACACATACATATTAACAATGTTGAACAAATTCCAGACAATTCCGTTGAAAAATATGCCGGTAGGTATATATGAAAAGGTTGGCTGATATAGCCCATCTTGAAATGTGATCTAAGTGCAGACTCAAATCGCATACGTAGCAAATTTCAGCACCCTATATCAATACCTTAGGAAGATAGCGTGATTACAACAGACGGTCGGACGGCAAAGCTAAAGGTGGTTAGGAACCCGTAACAACCTTCAAATAATAAATTGCAGATATTTCCGTTTAAAAATTTGACGAAAGTCATCGAAATGCTTAAAACGAGGTGACCATTATATGGAGGCTATACGAAGACGTGGACAGGCATACGCATTTTTTGCAATAGATTGTAGAACTCATTAAGATCTACCAATCCGAAATTTGAAAGGATTCCGGTGAATAATGTTTCTGAAATCATCAAAATACCGAATATCGGGAGGTACCGTTATACGGGGGCTATACAAAGACGTGGACCTGCATACAAAATGTTTTTCATATTCACGGGAGGTATTGTTATATGGGGGCTATACAAAAACGTGGACCGATATGACCCATTTACGAACTTAACCTGCCTACTGATAAACTATGCATGTATTTAAAATGTTAGCCTTCTATCTCAATTCGTTCGAAAGATAGCGTAATTACATCAGATAGACAGACATCGCTAGATCGTCTTAGAATTTTACGCTGATCAAGAATATATATATACTTTGTAGGGTCTATTATGAATACTTCGAGGAGTTACAAACGGAATGATAAAGCTAATATACCCTCCATAGAATTGTTGCGGGTATAAAAATTACTTTCTATTTTGGAAACTCTTTATATAAAAGCTATATCCATCAATCTGAACTGATCTCGATAATATTTCGCAGGCATATTTCTGAGCTGCATGTGATATCTGGTACAAAATATTATTGTATTGGAGTTCATATTACGAATGGAAGGGGCTTAAACGTCAACTCGGATGAAGCATATATATAGGAGCTCTAGCAATACCGATGAACCGATTTTTACCAAATTTCAAGCACTTGTTTCTAGGCTGAATTAGGTCGAATGTGCCGCAATAATCCTATTTTGACGAATATTACACAAATAACATAGTTGAAATCTGATGAAGATATATATTTGAGAAAGATGTAAATGTTTATAAGTGCGGTTGTAAGATTTAGAAGATATTCCAAAAAATTAGTTTTATTTAATTCTTTGGTTCCTCTTCTATTGAGCTTACGATCTCGTCCCTTGGGTAAAAAATGTTTTTGGCATAGAAATTATTTTTAACATAACTTCTGGGGAGAATATCCCAGACAAAAAACAAGGTAACTGATGAGGATTGGTGGCTCTTTCCGAAACCTAGGTATTCCCTGCCTTACCCCCTGGTAAGCATTACCATCGTTATCCACTAATAAACAAACGTTGTTTTTATAAAAACAACAATAAAGGGATTAAGCCTGACCATTTTGCAAAAACAAAATACTATAGTATCCCGAACAAACAAGCCGACTCTTTTCTAATTGAGCTTTATTTAAATTGGACAGACTCGCAGCAGGTTCAATAGGGGTTGTCCTTTGGCAAATTAAATACTTTGCGAAAACTTTATCTCATTCGAACAATAAATGGGTCTATTGTCTATTTTGTTTTCTTCTCCATATTCTATACCACAGTGTAGCGGAGGACATAAATATCATGCATGGTTCTTATGGGCCCTCAATTGATCTTCTATTAATAGAAGACTTTCTATAGAATTAGAATACTTAGAATTCTACACTCCCTTTCGGACATAGCTTATGCATTCCATAAAACCCTTAAACTACAATGTATTCAGTCCTATCTTTTATTTTTTCCATAATATATATGACACATATTCGTAGTCCTAAATTGTTTCATTAATTTTTCGAATCATTTTCAAATTTGTTTCCATTTCCACAATATTTTACCTAGTCATTGCTTAAATATGCTTTTAATATTGTATTAAATTCAAATTAAGTTATTTGTCATTAAAAATAGATTATGACATCTGATTGTCAGCGGCAGGAGATATCTGGGTTGAAGAAGTTTAGTTCAAATTCACACCAACAACGGTCAATCAAACACATAACACAGCTTCGCTCAGCTACTAAAGTTAAATGTAAGTAAATATGAAAACATGTGTACAAATTTATCACAAAAATCCTGTAATGAAAGAGATAAAAGTTCGGGAAAAACTATCGCTTAAGCTATGTGGGCCTATACATGGATCAACATTTTCGTATTTCTTTTGTTATTGTAACAAATACCAAACAAGCAAATGACGTTTTTGAAAAACAAGCAATGAGTACAGTTGCTAAAATGTTACAGAGTAGACCTCCTGGTCTGGCACAACAATTGCAAAATTCTGAAAAATTGGTGTGGTCCCTAATTCATAATTTTTTTTCGAACTGAAATTTTAACAGTCAACATTTTCGGCTGATATACAGGGTGAGATTAAAAAAAAAACTGCAACAAAGTCAAATGTCATAATTTTTACATTTTTTTTAATTTTATTGAATGAAAGCAAAAAATGTCGGAAATAGCATAAAATTTTAGAATAAGTTTAGATTTTTTTCGAAATAATGTACAGGTCCCATTTATAGTCCGAATAAGATGCAATTTTCTGCAAATTATTTAATTGGCCAAAGGACAACCCCTCGTGAAACTAGTGCGAGTCGGTCCAATTTAGATATAGCTCCCATATACAGGGTAAGTTGAAAAAACTAGAACCAACTTCAAACTGCTGTTATTTCTAAGCCACTCGTCCGACAGCTGATAAAATTATTCCAGAGACAGCTCATTATATTGTTTATAAGCGTGCAAAAGCATTTTGGTTAGAATTTTCCAGAAAAAAAGTTATTCGTGCTGGAATTCAAGCGTGATAGTGTGCTTTTTTTATATTTGGATGGAAAACCACAAGTGGCTTTCGTTGGAGCACTCCAGCATTTAAATGTGAATGAATCTCGTTTCATCGCTCGTTACCGTGATACTGGTAGCGTAGTCCGATGTCAAGGAAGTGGACGGAGGAAAACAGCAACATTTGCAGAAATGGTTGGAAAAGTAAAGAAGCGACTTAATCGAAAAATGGACGAAAAATGGCTCGTGAGCTGAACATATCGCAATATTCCATTCGGCAAATATTGAAAAATGAGCTCGGGGTTACGCCATAGAAATTCCAAAAAGTGCAAGAACTTACACCGCAGCAGAAAGAAAATAGACTCAGTAGAACTCAAGAGTTGTTTCGCTTGGCCGAAAGTGGTGAACTGCCGAATTTGGGTTTCTCCGATGAGAAAACATTCGTTGTCCAGCAGTTTGTAAACAAACAAAACGATCGTGTTTACTTGCCAAAGAGGTCAGCTGAAAATGTGCACCTTCGGTTGGCCACGAGAACTTAAGCGCCAGCCATGGTGATGGAGTGGGCCGCCATAACAGCCGATGGTCACTCGCCGCTCGTATTAATCGACCGTGGCATCAGAATAAATGCCGAATATTATCGCAAAAATATTTTGGAGGGTAGGCACGCAAACATTTTGGCCGCTGACCTTGGACATTCCAACAGGACTCGCAACATCGCACTCAACACGCGCCACCCTAGAATGGTTACAAAATGAGGTTCCTCGCTTCATTTCTAGGGCAAAATGGCCACCAAAATATCCGAATACCAATCCGTTGGACCATTGTGTTTGGATTATTTTGGAAAGCAAGGTTGGCACCAAAAAATAACACCTCAAGCAAGCGCTTTGCCGGGAATGGGCCAAAATACCGCAGAGCAACATTCGGACAGCGTGTGACTGTTTCATTGGCCGTTTGAAGGCCATAATTCGTGCCAAAGGTGGTCAACTCCTACATTTTTGCTTTCATTTAATAAAATTTAAAAAAAATGTAAAAATTATGGCGTTTGACTTTGTTGCAGTTTTTTTATCTCACCTTGTATATACACCGCATTAGATATGTGTCTCCTTGTATTAGAGAATTATGTATTTCAGTCAAACTACAAATCCATTTTCTTAATTTGTCTAATTTGTAAATAATTGTGTTATATAAATCGAATACATTTTACAGCAAACCATTACAAATCGAAACGATTACAAAGCAACGAATAACGAAATCAACGAATATTCTGCAACAGTTACCAACAACCAATGATCAAAGTGAGACAATGAGCGGTAAAGATATATTTCTGTTAACCATGATGATCTTCGCTACATCTATATTAGTGGAGTCCAAGGTATGACACCAAATAAATATTAAAAGTACAACCAACTAAAAAGGAAATAATTTCAGCGAGACTATATCCTAGAACTAGACTACATTACACCAGCCGTCACGGACATACCATTCATAAAACGTCTGAACTTTTCCCTAACAAATAAAAAGGCTGCCAATATGGATTTAATGATGAAGCGTAATATAACCAAATGGCCGGTTAAATTATCCGTGTATATGCTAACAAAAAGCAAGAAACGTATTTCACTGCAGCACACCACTTTCGATGTGTGTGAATCATTTCGAGATAAACGTTGGAATAAATTTATTGGTGTGTTCCTAAATGAGCTGCTTGACAAGTCTAATCTACCGCGTAAATGTCCTTTTGTTGAGGTAGACAAATCAATTGTTGTCACATTTTATGTAATTAACTAAATTTCCTTCTAGAATGTCCTCTATACGGCGCGTAATTACACAATCGATGAGGAGTGTTATCCGCCCATTTTGCCAGATGGTTCCTGGGAATTTACCTTAAATCTAAATAATGCTGATCCAAAGACAGGAATTGTGACAATTTCGGGTCGTGTAAAGAATAAATAAAATAATGCTTTATGGCCTTGTCGTTTAACATTCTGAGGCTACGACCTTAAAAAGTACATTATTCCGGTTATAATATAAATCATATATATTTGTGTCTTTTATGAAAAACAATTAGCTTATAAACTAAAATAAAAGATGAAATGCACTTTTGTTATATTAATGGTGGAACAAACGCAAATTAGTGTGGGCCATAATAATACCATGTTCATCACAGGCGGCAATAACGCCCGCATCATTGGTGGAACCTGCGGGACTGGCAATATAAGAGACGCCACTCTGTAAAATAAAAACAAAAATTAATAAAAAAAATATAAATTATAACATAACATGTCTTAACCCACCAAACGAGCCCGATCAATATTGTCACGAAAGGGGAAGAAGGCATCCGAACCCAAGGCCACACCATTCAATTGCTTGAGCCAATCGAGTTTTTCCTCTTGGGTCAATTGCTGCGGCACCTCTTCATACATGGCCTCGAACTGGGCGAATGGCATATCTTTGCCCACAGTACCGTTAACATAATTATCAATGGCATTTGAGATTTCAGCACGCTTAACGCCAGCCTTGAATTTCATACCGGCAACACGAGGATGTTGTCTCAGCCACCAGTTATCAGCCTTCTCACCAGCCAAACGGGTGCAATGGATACGTGATTGTTGCCCAGCACCAATGCCAATAACTTGGCCATCACGAGCATAACACACCGAATTCGATTGGGTAAACTTGAGAGCAATTGTGGCCACAATTAAATCACGTACAGCGGATTCGGGTAATTGTTTTTGTTTGGTAACAACATTCGAGAAAAGCGAGGGATCAATGACGGCATCATTGCGTTTTTGCTCCAGTGTCAAACCGAAAATGGTTTTACGTTCCAAAGCCGAGGGTTCGTAGTTGGGATCCATCTGAAAGTAAAAAAAGAAAATATGATCAGTTGCATTTGTGCTTCGAAAATAATTTCAGCTGTCATTTCTCATTATATTTTCTTAAGAATATGTCAGTATATCCTCGATACCCTTGCAACGTTTTTGATGACGCTAGAAGTACTTGTTACCCAGTCACATATAAACTGACACTTCTTTTATAAATAAACTCGCCTTTTATATAAGATTTGTAGAATCTTCACAGATTCCCTCTCCACAATCAGATTAAAACTTTGCCAAGATGTGATCATCCCATGATGTTGTCAAACAACAAATAAAGGCACCTTTAGACAGCAAAAAAAATTGTCAGGAAGTTGACTTTAATGACCAATTTCTTGCCACGGTTGACCTCGTCGCTTCCACTGTTATCAGTTCCCACATAGATTCAAAAACAAAATCACAATAAAAATATTCCCACCTCAACCCAATCCTTAACTATGGGATGGCCTGCCAACACCCAACTTTGACACAAGTAACGAGGCGTGATCTATGCAGAGTAGACAGTTGTTAGCCCTCAATATTAAAAGGGGATCTCTGCGTCTAAACGAAAAAACATTTTTAATGATATCTGGTACATCCCATCACTAGAACGAATATAACATTCGTCAGTCCAATAAGCATCCAATGTCGGTCTAAGCCAGTAGGGCTAGACTTTCGAGACCGAAGTAAATCGAATTCTAATGAACTATCGATGGTCGGTGCATTTCTTTAGACATTCTCTCGGGAACATATCTTTTTCATAAAAACAACCACTTCTATTCCTTGACAAGTCTGTTACGATACCATCTCTTCAAATATTGACGATAAAATCAAGTATTTGAAGTAATGATCCCAGCAACAGATCACTCTCACTGCGTTACTCCCAAGAAACTACAGACCTAAAATTCCTAATGGGATCCAGTTATACCGGCTGCACCCTCCTCTAATGGTCCACAGTTTAAGGCCGACAGTTCTTAATCATTGAAATGCAGATTCAGTACCAGACTTATGTTTTGGTTCTCTCAAGTAACCCTTGTCCAAAAATTCCACTGTGAGGCTATGATAGAGAACAGTCTTTAGTTAGTTGAGTAGTCAGATTTAAGGCCTGAGGTTGTGTGATTGGAAAGTCAAATGCTGTAGATTTCTGAAACAAATTGAATTCCCATGACTCGCTGCACAAAATAATCTTGGCTTTCGCTTTAGACAAAAACATTGTCGTTCTTATTAACTTATAAAATAACTTTAGCAATTACTTGGTTATCCACAGATATTATCAGAAATACAAAAGTTTGGAAGTCGGTTGTCCTCTTGACCGGAACATACGAAAATGCGGTCATGCTAAATTATTTAAAATTAGGTTAGGCTTTAAAAGACACACAGAGCCTTATGGGCATCAATTATACTAGAAATTTGCATTATTTTGAGCTAAATGATGTAATCATTTGATAAAGACATAATAGAGAAAAGTATTACTATCCAATTACGTCAATAGCCTGGCATGACTACAGTTAGCAGCTTAAAATAAATTTAATTTAAAATACTATACGCGATATATCGTAACATTCAACTGAAAAAAAAACAATCCTTACCTCCAAAATGCAGTAGGCACCATTCTTTTTCTTCTTAAGAATTTCCAATGCAGCCGGCTCATAACCTGGAGCAATAATACCATCGGACACCTCACGTGATATAATTTTTGCCGTTACAACATCACAGACATCGGACAATGCAACAAAATCACCAAATGATGACATGCGATCTGCACCTCTTGCCCGAGCATAAGCTGTGGCCAAGGGGGTCAACGAATCATATAAATCATCAACCATACACAATTTTGCTTGTTCCCTGGTTAAGGGATTGCCCACAGCAGCACCAGCTGGCGAGACATGTTTGAAACTTGTCGCTGCCGGCAAACCCAAAGCCTTTTTCAATTCTCTAACCAATTGCCAACCGTTCAAGGCATCACAGAGATTAATAAAACCAGGGGATGCATTCACCACACGCAATGGCAATTTCTCCAATTGAGTAAATATTTGGGCGGGTTTTTGATGGGGATTCATGCCATATCTCAAATTCAATTGAGCCACGCCACTTGAGTATTGTTTACGGAAATAATCGGAAATGGCATCATCATAAGTGGCTGTGTGCGTAAAGGCTTTGAGGGCCAACAATTTGCGGGTCTCCAAAGTGGTATCACCATTCTGTTGGATTTCTTGCAAAACCTTGGCATAATCAGAGGCTTCACAAATCACAGTGACACGATCATGATTTTTGGCTGCAGCCCTGAGCAAAGTCACACCACCGATATCAATGTTTTCCACAGCATCAGCCACGGTGACATCTGGCTTTGAGACAGTATTGACAAAAGGATACAGATTGCAGACCACCAAATTGATGTAATCGAAATTTTGTTTTTGCATATCGGCCAGATCGGATGGGGTGAGACGGGCCAAAATTCCACCATGCACAGCAGGGTGTAATGTTTTGACGCGACCACCCAACATTTCAGGAGCCCCGGTAATGTCGGAAACATCCTTAACGGCTAGACCGGCATTACGCAAAGCTGTAGCAGTGCCGCCACTGGCAACCAATTGAAAGCCCAAGGCAGAAAGGCTTTTGCCGAGGTCAACAAGACCGGTTTTGTCGGAAACACTAAGAAGGGCTGCAAAGATAAATATAATTATAATATATGACAAATGTTCAAACTTGAAATAAGCCATCACTTACCAAAACGTTTGCTGGCCATTTTATTACTTTACTGTTTGCGGATGTATGCTAAGGCGTAGCTGTGCTCTGGGTGTTGTGACGTACAAAAGTGAACTGAAATGTGAAAGAATTGCAAAAACCTCATTAAGTCTTCAATATTTCAAAATAGCATTTGCATCAGTCTTTTAATCTCAAATATTGAGTGACCTTAGCCCAACTGATAAACCGTGTTGTTTTTTGTCTACCGTATAGGGTATTAACATTTTGCAAATTTGTTTACATCGTTGACCTCCCAACTGCCCCCAGCGAACACTTATCAGTCGCAGTTTTTGAATCTTTTCCACCAACTTAATATGTTTGTGTAAGGGTGCCCATAGTAAATTGCAGTGTTACTATGTCCTTTTTTACGTCAAATTAAGAGTAAAAACAACAAATAATCAGATAGATTATGTTTAACACTAATCGTAGTTGCCTAGTATGATTATCAAGCACTAGATCGAAAGATCTGTCAATATAAAAAGTCTTCCATTTAGTATGATGAATTATGAAAATATATAGAAAAAGTATTCTTATCCAAATTCTATAGAAGATCTTGGAAAATCGCCAATCGTCGCTAAAACCCGACAAGTTCCTGACAAACTCATGTAGAAGAGTTTCTTTCTTTAAAAGCTGTATTATCTGTAGGGTTTCTTTCTAATAGGGAAAATGCCTAATAATATAATAATAATAATTTAAATTATATTTTGAGAATTTCTACTGACAGAAAATCTTCGGACTGTGAAGCCAATATTACGGAGAACAAACAAATCACTTTTTTTACTAACTCAGAAGAAATTATTTCTGTACAACAGATTATAAAATGATTGCAAGCGACAAACGGAAAACATCGAGTTGGATTTTCAAACTAACCAAGAACAAGTTTTGTGAAACGGAGATGAGCTTTTTATACCCCCCATCATATTATCGACTAAGTTTGTTTTCCGTTTGACGGAAAGACAGACGGACGGACATCGCTAAATCGACATTCCATTTTATGCTGATCAGGAATGTATATTTGGGTACTGAAAATGGAATATATTGGTCCACCTATTTGTTAAAGGCCAATACTACTATACCGGCAAATTTTTTTGGTTTTAATCACAATGTTAACCCGACTTTGTTGTATTTTAGCTGTTTGTGTTCCCAGCATGAAGGAAACATCCTAGCATGGATCATCCATATAAGTCCAAGCTTCGGTTTAGTCCCCATTAAACTGTACCTCCAGATATTCGGTATTTCGATTTGTGCCACACTTTTTGCCGGAATTTGTTTCAAATTTGGAGTTCGCAATGGATACTATCTCCTATGACAGAAAATTTCCAGTACATATCTACGCCTTCGAATAGTCTCCATATTAGGATACCTTGTAATATTCGGTATTTAAATGTTGTTGCCTACATTTTTCAACAGAATCGCCTCAAATTTAGTATTTGAAATTTCTAATGGTTTCCGCTTTCGCTGTCAAATAATTGGCTATAGAGCTTAAAAGTTTTCGCAATTTCTTGAATTACTTCAAATTCGAATTGAGTTCACTATGGGTACTACTTCCCATGACAGATCGACATCTTCATATAGCACCCTTTTGACGGTATCTCTCAATATTTAGGTTTTTAGCGTCATAATGCAACCAAATTATCTCAAAATCGGTGTTTGGGGTTCCTAATAAACACCACCTTCTCTGGGAGATAATTGGTTTCAGAGGTCCATGTATTCGCACAGGCCCACATTACTGTAACGCCAGATATGCGGAATTTTAAATATTATAGCGGAATTTTACATAGTGTGGAGGGTAATTAAAATTGTCGTTCCATTTGTAACTCACCGAAGTAATCACTTTGGACCCAACAAAGTTTATTTATTCATGATCAGCATAAAATTCGAATCTCATTTTAGGTCTATACTTAGATCAAGTTCGAAGTTGTTTCAAATTTGGCATTTGAAGTTCGTAATGAATACTACAGCCTATGAAAGAAAATTGTATGTGCAGGTCCACGTCCCCCTATAGCCCCCATATAAAGGTACCTCCCTATATTTGGTATTTTGATAATTTTAGCGACATTATTCATCGGAATTGTTTCAAATTTGGTATTTGAAGTTCGTAATGGATACTGCAGCTTCAGGCAGAATATTGTCTGTGCAGATCTACATTTTGGTCTAGCCCCCATATTGACGATTTTAGCTACATTATTTACGGTTTTTTTTTTTTAAATTTCGCATTTGAATATTGTAATGGCTTATGACAAAAGTTGCCTACGCAGGTCCACGTCGTCGTTTAGGCCCTAATATGACGGCTACATTTGGTATTTTTAAGATTTTAACAGAATTTTTAACGGTTTTTTTATTATTATTATTATTTTTTTGAAATTGCCAAATTCGTTCCAAATGGTGAAGGATATTCAAAGTTCAGCCCAGCCGAACTTACCGCTATTTTACTTGTTTTTTATTTTAACTATTATTATTATTTTTTTTTTTTCTTTTGAAAAACTTTTCTACCTTTTATGCGAAAAGCTGAATCGATACACCCAATTTTCAATCCCTTTAAAATTGTAGTCATAATGTCAAAGTTAGACCGAGGGACATGTTCAAATCTTCTTAGCATTTTACATTGATCAACAATATAAAGTATATATGGAGTCTTAAATGATTATTTCAATAAGTTACCCATAGAATCTTCTGCAAAATATTTATCGCGTTACAAAAATCAAAGAATTCAACTTTTGTCGAATCAATTTTTCAGTGTTCTTATAATATTCCGATCAGGATTTTTTTTCAAAAGAGATCTTCCATACCCGGACTGTAAGCGGAGTAATTAGTTATCTATTTAGATAGATGCTTGACAGTACAACAAGTGGGGGGTATGGTAACATACATTAACCCATGTAAATTGATCCCTTAAAAACCTACATATAGCAACCACAAAAGATCAATTCAAGACTTGTTATATTAATTCCAGACAGTGTTGGTGTTAGTCGCAGACCTATACTGAAATTCAAAAATCATTTCGGCTCTCTTGTGTTATGTGTGTTATGTAGCACATGTGCGTAAGTAAATTAATTGATCAAAAAACCTGTTGATATACTTGAGACGTCCGATGTTAAGTATGTATGTACATATGTACTCTATTCTATTTTAAGAACAAAAAAATAATAATCTCCAGACAGTAACACACACACATGCACAAACTAAGAAAAAAACATTAAACTCGATTGTCTGGAACCCACGTGCATGGATACGAGAGCTTGACGTAATGGATCCCCCTAAATGTACAACATAACTGCCTTATAAAAAAGAGGTTTTAAAAACAAAATTAATAAATAAAAGTATTAGGCTTGTTTACCGAAACCGAACACTGATATGCTTGTTATCTTTACTTACCAACCGGCTTTTTTTTGCTAAATTTTGTTTTGGATCCAACAGAAACTACAAACTTTCCGCCACAACAAAACACAAACACACCCGAGTCACCGACAATTTGAAATAAAATAAAATCAAAAATGAATTTAACATTTATGTTAACAGAGAAATTGAAATGTTAACATAAAATTAACATAACCTGAAAACAATTTAACATTTGCATTAACAGAATAATAGAACTAGGTTCGCATGGACTTATAGAGTTAGCAGAGTTGTATATAAACGTTTTCGATCTTCTGTTTCGTTAAACAACATAAATTTAATTTGATTTTTTTAAATAAAAATGCGTAAGTTAAATATTGTGTGGATTTTGAGGCTATAAAGTCGTTATTTGGATATAATGGGTGAAAATTGTCGGTAGTAAACATTTAAAAATAAGTGAAACAGGAAAACCTAGTATCATTCTTGAAATTTTATGGTTTGAATTTGAACTGTATATTAGCCATCTTCGAATTTTTTTGAAACCATGGTACAATGAAGATTAATGAAGGTCTACCTGTTTGGCTTGTAATGTCAGAATTACTATCAAAACAGTTAAAACCCCAATTAACTTGTTGCATTGATTTTGAATAAATAATTGATAACAGCGAAAAATGAATAAAAGGCCATAATTTCTTTTCAAAATCATGTTCTATATATCTCTGAAGGTGTATTCCACTACAAAAACTGTAGATTATGTAGATGCATACGTTGCAATAAGCATTTTGAAATAATCCGAATTTGAATATTTTCTGAGCAATTTTTTTGTTATTGAATAGAATAAACACACACAAACAAAAAAAGTTGACATATTAAGCCAAGAAAATGGAAAATTAAAATCAATGGCTCAATAAGAAAGGTTGCTCAACTTCAAAGAAACTAGAAAAATGCAATTCTGTGCTGGAATCTTATAGTGTAAAATAGACTCTTAAATAAGCAACAGTTGGGTTTATTTATTTTTAAATTATTTTTTACAAAATTCTTATATTGAAAAAAAAAACAGGGAAACAAGAATGGAATTTCGGGAGATGGAATCTAAAATAGTAGAACAATAAAGTTTTATCAAAAAATTGTACAATTTGTTACCCATTCACGTCGAAAATGTACACATATTTTGCAACCAAGTTTAAAATAATTTCAAATCATTGTATTTTTTTTTTTTTTCAAAACAATACACACACATACACAAAATGTGTATATGTTTTGACAGAATAAGGGCACAAAAAGAAAAAAATATTTTAGGGGGTAGTTTTTTTCTACCTTCTGTAATTGTGCCATGCTTGAAACGTTTGTTTGTAGAATTAAAGGATCTACAAATTTTGTAATTTTTAGAATAGTCTTCTCTTTTCCAGAGGTAGTTCAAAACATTTTATTTGGAATTCGAGAACTCCTTTTGTAACTTTGAAAAAATTCCATGCATAGAGGTCTACCTGTTTGGCTTGTAATGTCAGAATTACTACCAAACAGTTAAAAACCCAAACAACTTTTTGCATTGATTTTGAATAAATAATTGAAAACCGTAAAAACTGAATGAAAGACCAAAATTTCTTTTCAAAATCATGTTCTACATAACTCTGAAGGTTTATTTCGCTACAAAAACTGTAGATTCTGTAGATGCATACGTTGCAATAAGCATTTTGAAATCATCCGAATTTGAATATTTTCTGAGCATTTTTTTTTTTTTTTTTTGTTATTGAAAAATATAAACACACAAAAAAAGTTGACATATTAAGCCATTTTTATAAATTTAAATAATTTTTCATTCAACATTTTCAATTTCAAAATTGGTTTGACAGTTCATTGTCCCAGCAGCTGTGTCGACGCGTCTACCTACATTCTTCTACCATGGTACCATGCCTAAAACCATGGCTCAATAAGAAAGGTTGCTCAACTTCAAAGAAACTGGAAAAATTCAATTCTGTGCTGGAGTCTTATAGTGTCAAATAGACTCTTAAATATGCAACATTTGGCTTTGTTTATTTTTATTTATTTTTTTTTTTTTTTGAACAAAATTGTTATATTGGGAAAAAACCGGGAAAAAAGAATGGAATGTCGGGAGATGGAATCTAAAATAGTAGAACAATAAAGTTTTATCAAAAAAAATTGTACAATTAACCTTCTGTAATTGTGCCATGCTTGTAACTTTTGTTTTGTAGAATTAAGGGTTCTACAAATTTTGTAATTTTTCGAAAAGTCTACCCTTTTCCAGAGGTAGTTCGAAACATTTTATTTGGAATTCGAGAATTCCTTTTGTAATTCATGATATTTAATTTGTAATTTGAGATTTCCATTTGTTTTTCGTAATATTTTAATTGTAATTCGAGATTTCCATTAGTTATTTGTAACATTACATTTTAATATATATTTATTTGAAATTCGAATTATTCCATTTGTAATTCAAATTATTCCATTTAAAATTCGAAACAAACAAAAAAAAAATAAATATATTTTTTTCATTGGCTTCATATTTGCTTGTTTTGAAATAATTTGAATTGTATATGGAATAATTCGAATTACAAATGGAATAATTCGAATTTTAAATGGAATTTTACGAATCACAAATTAAATTCTCAATTTACATGTGAAATGTTTCGAATTACAAATGAAGTTCTTGAATTTTAATTGCAATTTTACGAATTTCAACTGAAATTTTTAAATTTAAAATAAAATGTTATGAATTGCAATTAAAATGTTTCGAATTACACCTGAAAAAGGTAAAAAAGGAAAAGGTCCTTGACAAAAAAAAAAAACTAGTAAAACCTCTAGAATATTTTAAGGCTAAGGTTCATTGTAAAAATTAAGAAGATAGTCATTTCAAATAAGCATTCCCATCTCTGCATTTTCTGTATGTAATTGTAAACATATTATTACATGATTCTACCATGGGAATCACCTGAATACGATTTTTATACAACTTTATTTAATTTTTTTACATGGTACAGTAATAAGAGGAATTAGTGTCCTTATTCTGTTCAAATAGTAGGGAAAACTAATTAAAAAAAACCTTAATTTCAATTGCAACAAAAAGTTGGCATTAAAAGGTAAAAATTTCAATTTTGAAATAAAACAATTTTGCCTTTGTATTTTGAATTAAATTACCCTTTATATAAATATGATTAAAAAATTGTAATAAGAACAAACTCAATTCAACTACTCAATGCTTTCGCAGTTCATTTTACACAATAAGACTCTGGTAAAGTTACTTTTCTGGTTTTATAATGGTTTTATTTGTATCTAAATTCTATCTCTCATTTCCTCTTGGAGCGATATTTCAAATAACGATTTTCGACGCGCTCCGATCGCTTAATACTATTTCTATAATGCTTCATGGTAGAAGAATACAGGTAGTCGCATCAACACAGCTGCTGGGACAATGAGCTGTCAACCCAATTTTGAAAGTGTTGATGCATCAACCTGTATTCTTTTAACATCGTGCACTTCCATGGTAGAAGAATATAGGTGGATGCATCAATGCTTGGGAACATTGATATATCAAAAATTTTAAAGTGTTTTCTAAAAAATAACTAGATTATTATATGAATTCTTATACGATGCAAATCGGAGTTTGTTATAATATGTATTTTTCAACAAATTTTATAAATTTCAATAATTTTTCATTCAGGACTTTCAATTTCCAAATCACTTTGACAGTTCTAACATGGCACAGTTCATACCATGGTACAACAAGGAGGTAGAACAGCTTCGTAAAACTAGAGAAATACAGCCCTGAGGCTATGCCCGCTTCCTGTCAGAATTACTCAAAATTATGTGCAACATGTTTTCATTTATTTTGTATTATTGTTTATTTTTTAAAATGAGCCAAATAGCGCGAAAGACGAATGAAATGCCTGGATGTCCTCTAAAAAATATGATCCTAAGTGATCAATCTTAAATCTGCTTAATATTATTACTGCGCGCCCCGCAATTGAAGTTTCTTCCAATCATTGATTTTGAATATATTTTGTTCTTATTCTTCTTGGCAGAAGTCGGGCACACTTTAAAAAAAAATTATAATCACCTGGTAGTTTTACCTTACCTTTTTATTGTACCATAATTCATACTATCTCGTAAGAATTGAATAAATCTTATGGGAAATGTACAGAGACGAACCTATTACCGAATAAAACAGTCAGCACAGTTCAGTGTTGGTAAACGTAAAAAAAGAGTCTCATAACAAAACAGCTGTTCGACCAGTATTGTAGTAACACAATAATATTACGCATTTATACAGCACTGTATTTGACGGGCTATTGGATTGGTGATGTGGTTATAAATGAATCTACATTTGCAAAAGGATTAAGTTTTTTGTTTTTAATATTAAATATTAAAGAAATATATAATTTAACTACAAATTAACAACAACATCTGCTGTAGCGGCTAGACAATATGTATAACAATCCGAATGCTGGCATAAGGAATCGTAAGTGGGAAAATTGTAAGGAAGACAAGGAAACACGCAAGTACACAATGAGTTTCGTTTCGAAGCAGAAGAAAACGCATAAAAATGAAAGTCCCTGCCCCAAAAAGGAGTGCGTGCTCGCATCTATGCTGATAACATAGATGTCATTATAGCTAGTAGTTCAAAGGTTTCATGCGAAGGGGCTTGAATTTTTCATAATATCTGTTTGGCTATACCACAAACTGACGTATTGATGCTGTCTTATTCTTTCTAATAATTCTGTTCGATGAAGAATACTAACCACTGCCCTCTCAAATTCATACGCCTTTTGCCGCTGTTGCTATCAGTCTGTTTTTATTGTTATGTGTCCACCGAAACTATATCAGTTTGTGATCTGTTTCGTTGTAATTTGTGTAGACAATGTGTGAGTGTGTGTTAGTGGCTATATGCCACCAATTGAGACATGAAATGCACACCATGTACGTCTGTAGCTTGCAAGTTTCCATTGTTTCTTTGCTTTATCAAATATTGATGTTGAAATGGAAAATAATTCTAATTTGTGTTTCCATAAAGCTTCTGGCCCGGGACGTAAAATTAAACATGTTCGAGATGTTAATGCTATGGGACCGGCAGCTCCCATGGCCAGTTCCTCTCCATACTTGCAACCGACAAACGGACCAACTGTCCTGGATCCAATGCTAGGTGGCAATGCTGCTCCCAGTGGCTTTGGCATGCCTCAACACCAATCTCCCCAACCAATGGGTGGTGGTGGCTTCAACAATGGAGGTATGCCCATGCCCAATCAAAATTATGGATATTCTGCCCCATCACCACAACCGCAACAATACAGTTCTGTTCCCGGAGGACAGCCACAACAGCAACCATTTGGCGGTGGGGTTGGTCCACAACAACAACAGACAGGTGTAGCTGGAGGGCCACCTGGACAGTTTCCCCAGTTTGCCATGTTTCAACAGCCAATTGTACAAGATATGGCCATGCAATATGGTCAACGACTGGCCGACCAGGGCAAGCAGTTGGTGGAGAACCAATTTACTAAATGGGTACCAGTTGCCAAATTGAAATACTATTTTTCAGTCGACAACAATTATGTGATCAACAAATTGAGGTTGTTATTCTTCCCATTCACACATAAGGTAAGTACACCTCTAAACCCCAAAATATTCCAACATTGTTTACATTTATTCTGTATTTTAGGATTGGTCCCTCAAATACGATCAAGAACAACCTGTACAACCCAGATATGACATAAATGCTCCAGACTTGTATATACCCACCATGGCTTTTATAACATTTGTCGTTGTGGCCGGTCTCATGTTGGGTCTTCAAAAACGTTTCTCGCCCGAAGCCCTCAGTATACAAGCGTCCAGTGCTTTGGCCTATTGTATTTTTGAATTGGTGGTATATACAATCACACTGTATGTGGTCAACATCAAAACGAATCTAAAAACATTGGACTTAATGGCGTTTGCCGGATATAAGTTTGTCACAATAACAGCATGTCTATTGGTGAGCACAATGTTCCATGGTTTTGGATATTATTTGGCATTGGCATACTGCAGTTTATCGTTGGGATTCTTTTTGGTAAGTGGACGCAATGATCGATTTATAACGATTTTGATTATCTTTTATGAAATTCCATTTTAGTTACGTACTTTGAAAACCAAAGTCCTACACGAAACCTCACCAGCAGCTGCTACAGGAGCCATTAACTACGATCCCTATGGTAATCCCCAACAGTTGGATTACACTGGTGGCAGAAAACGAAAATTATATTTCCTTTTCTTAGTTGTTGGAGGGCAAGCCTTTTTGTCCTTTTTATTGTCGAAACATTTATATTTCCCCGATGCGGCCACCTTAGAAGCTAGAAATCTACAATTTTAAGTGAATACTCTTATTTGTTTTCTATTCTGTGCATAAAAACAACAACTATTTTTAGTTTAATTTTCCACAAGAAAAAATAAAGCTAAAATATGAACCATACTATCACGTTTCCTTATGTAAACATAACATTCGTTGCTGTTCCATTATAATGATAATATCAACAACATGTGGTTGAATATTTCTGATTGTTGTCACCCTCAAACACGATGTCACCCACATAACGATTTTATGTTAAATACGCCTTGATTGATAATTAGTTTTTCCTTTAGTTTTATATTACAAAAAAGGGATCATACTTAAATCTGTTTATTTTACAGATCTATTCTTTTTTTTGGTGTTGTAATATACATAGATTATCAATTTTAATTTGAGACTCTCCAATTTAGTTTATAATTGCAAAATATGTATATTTTCTTAAAACATTTTTTGTTAATTCGAAAACATAAAATCATACTTTTTATAATGAAAAAAACAAAATGAGAATAACAATAAAAATAACATTATGAACGAAATGTATCCAAACTGATTGTTTCTCTTGAAGGCCGAGCAATTGTGTTGATTCTGCAAAATGTATACAATATAATATACAAGATATTACTCACACATGTTCATTTGTTTAGGATTTGAATGATAGGGCGACAAAATGTAAGCGAAAGTTCGAAGCAACTCTTTAGCTCTTTTGAGTCTATTTTCTTTCTGTTGCGGTGTAAGTTCTTGTACTTTTTGGAATTTCAATGGCTCATTTTTCTATATTTGCCGAAATGAATATTGAGATATGTTCAACTCACGAGACATTTTCGGCCACTGCGACGCGAGTTTCGATCAAGTCGCTAACGATAGCCACTTCTAAATATAAAGAAATCACGCTTGAATTCCATCAAGAATAGCTTTTTTTCTGAAAAATTCTCACCAAAATGCTTTTGTAAGTATAATTTTAACAGCTGTCGGATAAATGAATTAGAAATGACAGCAGTTTGAAGTTGCTTGCAGTTTTTTCATCTTACCCTGTATTTTTCTGAACTTGATCAAAACTTCTAATGTAATAACAATTCTGTTTGCACAATTTTTGTTTTCATAACTGTCACTGTTTCATATTGGCTTTTATAAAGGAGTCTGTAAACCTCACAAAATTCGATTTCGGCGGGCCTGCGACAACAACTCGACAACATCCTAGTCCTCCCACTAGCCTGCAGTAGTCGGCATCAGAATTATGCGATTATGGCCAGTGTAAAATATTCCTAATTTCTCCTAACTTGGGGCGATGATTTTGATAGACTTGTTCGTTGTACCAGTTTATCGTGGCTCTTGGAAGAAACAGGGTTGACCACTTGAGACAATGATTTCAAGGTCTCTGGGGAATGCCAGCCGTTTCTCATCATTTTGTCAGATTTAGAAAATAATGGGTTAACGTGTTTCTATAGGAACATACCGATTTTTAAGTAAGCGATGTACTCAGAAATTTTATATTTAAAAACGTCATTAATTTCAAAGCATACTTTTGGGAGGGTAGGAATATTGAACATTTAGGAAATTTTAGTCAGACCTTACCTTTTTTATACCTTCCACCATAGCATGGAGGGTATATTAAGTTCGTCATTCCGTTTGAAATATACTTTTTAGACCCCACAAAGTACATATATTCTTGATCAGCATAAAGCCATGAAGGTCCACGTTTTGTTATAGCCACCATATAATATTACCTCCCTTTTTTCGGTATTTTGGTGATTTAAGCGACATTATTTACCGGAAATGTTTCAAATTTGGTATTTGAAGTTCTTAACGGATGCTACGGCCTATGACAGAAAATTGCCTGTGCAAGCCCACGTCTTCGTATAGCCCCCGTAAAACGGTACCTCCCGATACTCGGTACTTTGATGATTTTAGCGACAATTTTCAACGGGATTGTTTCAAATTCGGTATTTGAAGTTCGTAATGAATACTACAGCCTAAGACAGAAAATTGTCTGTACAGGTCCACTGCTTCGTATAACCCCCATATGACGGTTCCTCCCGATATTCGGTACTTTGATGATTTTTAGCAAAATTATACACCGGAATTATTACAAATTTGGTATTTTTTGAACTTCGTAATGAATACTACAGCCTAAGGCAAAAAATTGTCTGTACAGGTCCACGTCTTCGTATAGCCCCCATATAACGATAAATACAATTTAGGAACCATTATTATTTTTTTTGTAATATTTTTTATTTAATTTTATTTATTATTCTTTAGTCTCTTTGTTGTTGTTGCTATTTTCATAGATATTTGCAAATTTATACCTGTGTTGATTTAGTTAAGTTTTTTCCTTCTTTCATTTGATATAACATATCATTTGTTTGCAACTGATTTATTTTTTTTTTGTTCTTGTTTTCTATATACACAATTATGTAATTAAAGTTCATTTCCATTATTAAATATTTTTGTTCAATTTTTAACACTAGATGCCTGTTGGATTTTCATAATGATTTGTTCATTCATTCATTTGTTTATTAACACTATTTCGGTTTACACAATAGCTTTTGCTATCCATTTTTATTTTAAATATAAAATATAATTTTTTTTTTTATTATTTTCGATATTTTATAGATGATCAACATTTTTCTTATTTCCATATTACTTATGTTAGGTATAGTTTAAAAGAGGGGGAGAGGGGAGGATTTAAAGAGTACATAGAATTGGGTATAGATAGTAAGAGGAAAATAGGGATAACAGACAGACAGATAGCTATAGAAGTGTAGAGATTTCTACGAATGTTGTCCATTAATTTATAACCATTATCAACCATTTACATTTATTTATTTATATATTTCCTAAGTTCTTTCTATTTTAAATAGTAAAATTTTGTTTGCAAGTACTTTACATTGAATGCAATTTTTAGAAAATTACAATAATGACATTTTTAGTTTAGTGTTTTTTTAATATATTTATAGGTCATCACACATGGGCTAAAAGTCACACAACTGGTGTAGGTTGTATCTTAGGTTCAAGACTATTTGACCCATGTGTTATGCATGGATGTCAACTTAGATTTTAATAAATTAAAAGCATTTTTTAATTACAGTTGTTGTAATAATTTAAATACATATATGTTTTATATATTTACATAGCGCTACAATAATAATATAAACACAAAGAGTATGTGGAAAATTTGTTATCAGAAAAAGAAAAAGAAAAGAAAAAGTCGTAAACACATAAAAACCTCAATAATTTGTGGGAAGTTTTGCCTTTTTTTGAATTAATTTGTTTTCAAATATCTGATGTCTCTTTGCTTTTTTGAATGATCTGGATTTTATTGATTACACAGAAATTATGTGAAATTTGTAAGAAATCAAAACAAGAGGTATTGGCTGAGTTGTTGAAAGAATTAAAGAAAAGGCTATCGTTAGATCACTTCAGCATTTTAATGTGAATAAATCTTTTGTGTCTCGTTCCATCGCTCGTTACCGTGATACTGGTAGCGTAGCCCGGAAAAAATAGCAACATCAGCAGAAATAGTTCGAAAAGTAAAGAAGCGACTTGATCGAAACACTCGTCGCAGTGACCGAAAAATGGCTCGTAAGCTGAACATATCGCCATATTCAATTCGGCAAATCTTGAAAAATGAGTTCGGGGTAAAGGCGTTCAAGTTCCAAAGAAATGCAAGAACTTACACCGCAACAGAAAGAACATAGAAACAAAAGAGCTAAAGAGTTGCCTCGCTTGGCCGAAAGTGGTGAACTGCGAACTGAATTTGGATTTCTCTGATGAGAAAACATTTGTTGTCCAGCAGTTTGTAAACAAACAAAATGATCGTGTTTACTTGCCAAAGAGGTAAGCTGAAAGTGTGTACCTTCGGTTGGCCAACATAACTCAAGCGGCGGTCATGGTGATGGTGTGGGCCGCCATTAATCGACCGTGGCATCAGAATAAATGCCAAATGTTATCGCGAAAATATTTTGGAGGGTATATTAAAGCCTTAGGCACGCAAAAATTTTGTCCGCAGACGTTGGACATTTCAACAGGACTCGGCACCATCGCACTCAGCACGCGCCACCCAAGAATAGTGGCGCACAATGGCAACAAAAATCTCCGGATACCAATCCGTTGGACTATTGTGTCCGGAGTATTTTGGAAAGCAAGGTTGGCACTAAAAAATACAAAAAATACAAATACAAAAAATACAAGTGTCGACAATCCCACGGCAGCGGGTTCTACGATACCGGATTGACCCGAAACAACAAGTTTCCTGTTTCGGCCAGCGGCTGCCAACCCAGTATGTACATGTTTGTGTTTGTTTATTTTTCTGCATTGGGAGCAGCATATCCCGGAATGCTTGCTCCGGATTTTATTGGTCCGTGCCGGGATTGAGGAAAACCCCGGACCTTGGTTCTGCTCGGTTTGTCAGAACGTCATCCACCACAGATCTGTCTCGGTGCGATGTAATGGATGCAGAGAGTGGGTGCACTTCAAGAACTGTTCCGGATTAAGGCGTTTGCGAGACTACAGCGAAAGGGATTATGTTGCGACTTGCTGCAGTAACGTAGTCCCCAGCGAGTCCTCTTCTTCGTCGTCCTCGTCAGAGACGTCGTCGGAGTATGGCACTCCACCGCAGTCTCCAGAACAGCAACCAACACCGCAGCACCTAACGCCACATGTTGCTGTTCCAACTCCGGATTGTGCATCATTCTTGCAATTCAATTGCAACGGACTTCGAGGCAAAATAGATGAGATAGTGGAATTTATGAGTCGGAGGAATATTAAGATCGCAGCGGTGCAGGAAACCAAGCTGAATGAAAATTGCAGCCTACAACGTTGTTATGGTTACAACGTACTAAGGAAGGATCGCACCAGAAGTGGAGGTGGGGGATTAGCGTTCCTGTTACACCATTCTGTTCAGTACAGACCTATCTCGCTTGAGCTAGTCTCTAGTGACCCATACATGGAATGTATGGGGGTAGCAGTCAAGTGTGGAACTGCCGAGGTAGAGGTGCTTAATGTGTATATCCCGCCGATTAATAGCTGTGAACCACGTTATTTGCCTGATATTAGCCCATTATTGGTAGGCAATAACCGCCTGGTACTAGGGGATTTTAATGCCCACCATGAGTTGTGGCATTCCGTCCTAGGTAATGACCAGAGGGGATCAGCGCTGGCAGAGCAGATTGACTGCTCCACATTCTGCACGGTTAACGAGGATGCCCCCACCCGAATAAGAGGAGAGTGTCACAGTTCGCCAGATTTAACCATAGTGTCACCCGGTCTGATAAATGACGTGACTTGGCAACCCGTCATTTCTCTTGGCTCAGACCATCTCCCGATAATCGTCTCCATAAGCAGGTCGCCCGATTTCATAACCTCTGAACGCCGCACTTTCCTTAACCATGGGAAAGCTCACTGGCCAGAGTTCAGAGAATTCACCAACCGCCGCTTCAGAGAACTGCCCAACCCTTCTGATGTTCGGGTAGCAGAAAGGATTTTCCGAAACATCATCAGAGCTGCAGCCGCTCGCTATATACCTGCTGGTCGAATACCCGAGATAAGACCAAACTTCCCAGCAGAGGCAGCGGGATTAGCAAACGAGCGTGATGATCTCCGTCGTACCAACCCTACTGATCCTAGAATCAGTGATTTGACAGTGGAAGTCAACCGGTTGGTGCAGGAGCATAAGAGGAAAAAGTGGCTAGACCATCTGAAGTGCTGCAACATTGGAACCGATATGAGTAAGCTGTGGGTAACGGTTAAGTCGCTCTCGAACCCTGGAAAAAAGGATGATAGGACCTCAGTCACTTTTAACGACGTAACGGTGACTGATCCGAAGAGGTGCGCGGAATATTTTAACCGACAATTTGTCGAGCACCCCGAGAGTGATAGGGCGAAGCGAAGAGTACTACGTCGTATCAGATCTCTTCCCGCCGAGGAGGAACCACCACAGTTTACGATGGGTGATGTTGCAAATGTCATCCGTAACGCTAAGTCATCCAAAGCGTTGGGCCCGGACGGAATCTCAATGGTAATGTTGAAGCAGCTGGATACGCCGGGAGTCGAGTACTTAACAAAAGTTCTCAATTTGTCGCTAGCCACCTACATAGTGCCCGAAACCTGGAAAATGGGCCGGGTGGTCCCGCTACTGAAGCCAGGCAAGGATGCCAGTAAAGGCGAATCGTACAGGCCGATTTCGCTTTTGTCGCCAGTAGCAAAGACTCTTGAGGCTTTACTCCTCCCCAGCATTAGAGGAAGCTATGCAGTTGCCAACCACCAGCATGGATTCCGTCCACAACATAGTACCACAACAGCATTACACGCCATTTCCACACATATTAGTAGAGGACTAAACCAGAACAGGCCGTGTGACAGAACAGTGTTGGTAGCCCTTGACCTATCAAAGGCATTTGATACGGTCAATCATGCCACACTGTTTGAGGACGTACAGAGAACTACCCTCCGGCCAAGTTTGAAACGTTGGATAATCAACTA